TGGGAAAGGAGGGAAGCATGTACTTAAACAGCAGTAGGACTCAAATCCTGTGTCAGGAGTTGAGAGCAGCTGGCATCAAGCTGTGCTGGAGAAAGGAGGCAGGGATACCATGGCTTTCCTAAACTTTGTATTTTAGTAAGGCATGGTGCTGAACTGCAGAGAAGGAACACTTTATGAAAGTCTTAAAAAAAAAGGAGAGAAGAAAGAACAGGAAAAGAGAAAACCAGTAAATTTCAAAGAAAATTAACTTCGGGCACAGTCACCAGTTGCATGGATGGAGCGAGGTAAAGCAAATCTGACAGTAAAGTAGTTTTACAACCCAACTTGGGAGACAAAATTTAGTGCAAGCTCTGCCCCATCTTCTGCTGCCTGGGCAGCCCTCCCAGGCCTCTTTCTAGTAGCCACATTTAGAGTAATGAGTCTCCCCACGGCCCTGGCACCAGCTATTTCCAGGTGGCTCTGTCATGCTCCCATATCCCTTCCGCACAGTGAATGAACTGTCAGCTGTGATTGTGATCAGAGTTCTAAGGCCTAGCATATAGGTCTAGCAGCTGTGTAATGGCAGGCTGAGTAGCTGGCTTTTCATACTCCAAATGTTTTTTTGAAATAGATACATATATTTCTACAAACACGCACACATGCTTAAATGCAGACCCATGTGTGTGTATGTGTATATATATATACGCGTGTGTATATGTGTGTATATATATATATATGCATCTATACACACACACACACACGTATGTATATACAAGATGGAATTTCAGGAAACCAAAGCCGTGAAATGTCTGGAAAGAGCTACTGATGGGAGATAGATATATAAGCAAAGATGGAGTAGGCAATATGCAGTGTTACATTGTGTGTGCATACATTAGCTCTAGAAACTGCTTTGAACTGTGTTTTCCATTCCTAGTTGTAAATGTTCATATCTCTGTGTTTCTACATGCCTAGCATTTTCTGTTGGAAGTGCTATTTGTTAGAAATGGTGCTCCTGGGATAGTCAGCTCCTCTTCCTCCGTGTCCTCCCCTGACCAGTTGCTTCTGCTATAAACCCATGGCTGCTCTTCCTGGGTGGTTAGCAGCAGGCTTCAGGTGGGTTTACGCCTGTCTGCTCCCCATCTCAGGAGGGTTGTTGCAGAGGTTGTCCCTTGCCCCTCTCAGAGCAGCTGTCTTACTGGTTTGTTTGCTTTTCATACTTTTAGCCTTTTTCCCTGTGAGACCCCGGAGATCCCTGATGAAAAGAAGGGAGCTGTCTTTTGTGCTGCCCCAAAAGAGAGTTTAGATTTTCATTCACTTAACTGCCTCGAAGGGAAATAGGAGAAATTAGAGAAATGCAGTCTCTTTGATGGATTATGTAAATAGCCTTTAAGCAGCAAGAGCAGGAAAGAAACAGGGAGCTCATAAAGGAGCAGCAGTTGATTGTTGTTCCAGTTTCATTTACCTTAACAGAGAATTTTGACCCACAAAGTGAGAACTCACCCAATTCACATTTCTAATTTTACCTTTCTGTTTGCTTTGTCTTCAAATATTGTGGATGTAAAACAGATATATAAACACCATCCAAGATATCCTCTTCTATTGCTGTCAGGTTTTTGGGACATAACACAAGCTGCGTTGTGGTATGAGTAAAACTTGTAACGGGGCAGGGGGGGAAGTAGTGCATCTAGAAGGATATTTGTATGTTTAGCATGCAGGATAGAAATGTGGAGGCACAGAGTCACTCAAGCATGCTACAAAATAATTTTGCGTTTTCCAGACTGAATTCCTTCATAACAGGCTCATTAGAAGTTCTTGCTGCCAAATGCTGTTTTCTTTCACCTTCAAAACTGTCTGCATCAGTAATGAGTAACTCCACTTGGAAGTTATTTACATAAAATATTGTTCTTGTCAGTGGTGCTGTGCAAGTCAAGGGTGGGAGGGAGAGCGCACACTCAGCAAATGAATTTAAAGGCCTGATTTACCATATTTCTCAAAATTACTGGTATAGGCTAAGCTGGTGTGACAGATACTGGATGAAATCTGGTTTAGCAGGAGTTGACTGTAAGGGGGATTTACTTCTGCTGAGTTAGCTCAGCTAAGTGTACTTCGCAAGCTTAAATATTGTTTTCAAGATTAGTATCGGAACCTTGGTTTCTCTGTTTTGTATTTTGAGACTTTTCAAGCCCCATAAACTCTTAACTTCATGTGGAGTACAAATTCTTCTTGAGCCTCCTAGGTTATTATTCCTGAGTGTTTCCACTTGCACAGATGGCTGTGACATTGTATCTCTCCGTTCCTCTGGGAGCATTGTTGTCAGCAGCTGGTGCATTCCCCATACGCAAATGCCTTCAATAACATGGCAGTTACACAGCAATAATGAGAATCTGTAGGAGATTTCCCATGAGATTATTTAAGGGTTGCTTCAAAGGAGAAGCACGGGACCAAACCTGGTTCATGTGGTTATTATAAAAATGACTAATGTATCCTGGCTTTAAAGTTCATTGTACTGTCAAATTCATAACAAACTCAAATGAAGAGCCAAAGTAATCTAGACTTATCTATCTCATACTTTTTATACATTTATACATTTTATATTTTATACATTTATAGCTATTTATATACATAAACATATATATACATGATAACTAGCTAGCTAGATAGATGAGGAGAGTCGTCCAGATACATACCAGATCTCTGTCTTCACCCTGACACAGAAAGAGTTATTTTGCTCTCAATCTGCATCTCTGTCATTCTTATTTCAGTGCATATATATATACGTAATGCCCTATGCAAGATCTTTACTGGTGGAAAAGGTTTAGCAGTCCTTTTAGGTATTGAATTTCTGGCAAAAAAAGTTAATTTTTGTAATATGAAATTATACATATCAGGATCCAGAGCATAAAAATGTTTGCAAATATCTAATTTCAGTTATGGGTGGGATAATTAATATAAACAAACAAACAAAATGAAAATGTCCTAGAGACATCAGAGCACACCAAGTGTACAAGTCCGAGTATTCCAAATTCTCGGGACCATGGGCTGTTAACCAGCATGCTGTATGCAGTGCTCAGAAACTGGATAATTTCTAAAGTACTATGTCCACTAAACCTTATAACTCTGTGATTTGATATCTGAAATCTAGTGCCTATTAAAAAAAGAGTCACTAAGATAGGATCACCTAACCAGAAGCTGATGGAATTGTGGGTATTTTATTGACAACAGAATTTATGAAAGTGAATATAATATTTGAAAATATTTCTTGCAGCTGCTAAACCCTTTTTGTTTTGTTTTAACTAAGACTAATATGCAATTTCTCCTGACAAATGGTGTTTTGAGACCGCTAATGGTCAGAGAAAAGGAGCTGACTTGAGGACATTTATGAATATATTCTAATCAGAATACAAAGAGATGTTTATGAATATATGGAACACAATTGCTTTGATTACTGATATTTGGGTTCATTTCTTACATGCTCATAAACACTTCCCTACATAATTTGTACATTAGACCAATTAGAATTTTTAGTTGCATTCCTATCGCAAGTAAATGGAAAATAATACTAACAGGAATGTAATTATCAATGCTTGAAACTAATAAACTCCACTTTATTCGTGGTCATCCATCTATGCCATGTACTGAAATACCACTTTACAAAATTTTCTTTTTTATCATCACATTAACATAGAATTAGATACCGGAACATATTAGATGCCTATATTGAGAACAACTCCAAAAACGTGGCTCCTTCCCAAACTGACCTAAAGCAAATGGCTAGGTCCAGAGGACAGTCTCCAATCCCACAGTCAGTGAGTGCTTGGATCTTCATCTGCAGCTTCATTTTCCTTTGCGCAAAATGTGTATTTAAGAACTTTTGTCTGGATTTGTCTTCTTTTACACTCATGTTATATTCTCTGTAGTCAGGACTGCGTAAGCCTGCACTAGCTACCTTTAACTATGTACAGGAAATAATTGCTGTCTTGTATAGGAAGCATCCCTGACTTATGTCTTTATTGCTAGGGCTGTTCACTCTTATCTGCAGACAAGCTTCAGTGGAAATCACCTGCAGCAAAATAAGATTTTCTTCAATAGCAGTGGGCTCCTGCTTGTCATACTGTTGCATTTCAAACCATATATGTCTCTGACAAAAAAGCAGATAGATACTGCCAAAATTTATTTGAAAATCATATCTTTTCTGTACAGAAAGACTGCATGCTTGCTACAAGCCATATTTTCTTTCTGTCCCTCCCAGCTTTTTTCTCTAATATCAAATAAGGCAGCAAAACGTGGCAGTAAACCCTATTCCCTTATTCCCTTAAAGAAATACAAAGAAATGGTTTTATATGATATTTCTTCTGCTAAGAAATTATTTTATTCAACATTTCAATGATACCTTTATCTTGCTAGCAGACCTATTGAGAATGAACTTATCTGAGTATTGGAATATACAGTCTTAGTGAAAGAGTTTTAGTACCTTAATATTGAGTAATACCACCGGAAAATCTGGGAGCAGCTATCTGGCCTCCAGACTACAGTTCATATAGGCTTAGCCAGCTCAGAGTATAAAAAGAAAAATTTAAGGGTAGTCTGTCCTATCCAGAGAGACATAACCTAACCTTCTGTGAGACATGTTGTCTAACTTCTGCTAGTTTTACATCTTGAATTACTGAAACTACAGTAAGTTTAAGTAGTAGCAGCTGTAATCAAGAATACATTTTTCAAGACTGGATGGAGAGCATCCCTTAGGAGGAAGAACTTGGGGGTTCTAACTGACAAGAAGGATCATGCCTTTCAGTTTCTCTCTGCTCTCACCTCATGACAGAAGGGATATGTCCCTCCTATTATGATCCAGTGCAGAATTCTCCTTTTTCCTGTTATTCCCAGTTTTCTTCCTCTTAATTAGTTTTATGAGTAGAATTGCAGAGTTGTACCATATTGTTGTCAGAGTGTTCTTTCTGTTAAAAATAATAAATAAGGATTTGTCAATTATTTGCAACACATAAAAATTCTGTTTGTTATTTCAGGACACAGCTGGTCAAGAGAGGTACAGAACAATTACCACAGCTTACTACCGGGGTGCAATGGGCTTCATTTTAATGTATGACATCACGAACGAAGAATCTTTCAACGCTGTTCAGGATTGGTAAGTAAAACTTGGAATTCATAGTAAGTAGCATAGAGCATATTTGATATCATTCACCTGCTGTGACAGTACAAGTTGTTTTGGAAAAATTACCTCCAAATGCAGTGCCCAGGTATTCCTATACTCAAATATACACTGGGTTTTTTTATGGACAGACAATGAATACTCTAAAATGTGTTGCATATAGTTAATTGTAACCATTGTGTTTTCTGTGATGCTGGCTAACGTGTGTTATTCATACTTCTAAAACCAGCAACATGCTAGTGCGGAGAATAACTGCTAAGACACAAAAAGTGTTTCCATATTTTGTGGGAAAAAATGAGAAACCATTTGTGGGGTTGTCTTTTAATTTAATTTTTCTTTATGTAGTTTTTATGTAGCTGGTTGTACATTATGTTGCCAGTCTTGTGCCTCAAGCATAAAAATGATGAGCAAGCTTCGTTAGAATAACAGAACCTAAAATGGATGATGCTTTTATTACCTTTTATTATGTGGATTTCAAGATGTCTCCATAAAAGTGTGTCATTTCAATCAGACGTGGGTCAGTCAGGATCCAAACAATCTAAGGCTTTTTTAAGTAAAGCTAACCCAAAAGGAAAGCTAGAGTTAACTCCCTTTACAAGTTATTTTAATATCTAAGAGCCTCCTAGCAGTGCTCTGAGTGATACGAATAGCATTTGTCATGTGTGTTCCACATGCTGTCTTGCATAATGTTCCCATGGGAGAACTGTGTTTGACAGAGGATTTGGTTCAGAGTTTGTGTGATTTGTTCAGTATGCTTCTTTAGCTTTTATTTATTCATTTATTTTAAGATATGCACTACTGTGTACTTCTTTTGGGATGGAAAGGGCAGAAATGTGTTTCACACTTAAAGGCAGTGATGCTGCAATACTGGTTTCCAATAGGAACTGTTGCCCAGCCTCAGGCTCTCCAAGAAAAAACTTTCTCTGTTCATGCTCTCCTACTTATTATTGTGGTAGAAAGCATTACTGAATCCATGGAGCACCTTCTCTCTCTACATCTGGAGGGTTTTTGTTGAGCCCGGTCATTCAACACTCTGAAAATGAGAACTGAGAACCTTAGCTTAATTCTGCTCTACAAGAAATGGGATCTTTGGTTGTGTGACTGTACCAAATTGCTCTTGTGAACATCTTTCCATTTACTAGAGAACCAATAAGCTTGCATGACTAGGACAGACCAAACAGCTAGCTTTTGGACAATTAAATGTATCTGAGAGGAGTCTCTGCTTGATACTCAATTGAGGAAAACATGTTTTCTCACTGTGACTTGTTATGCCAAAGGGATGTTCTACACATTTTGTGCATGCTGGAGGCATCATGCTGAGCGCTCGCTGTTACACATTTGTAGTTCACAGCAGTACACAGTACACACAGTACACAGCCGTACACACTGCTCTGTTCAAGAAATAAGACAGAATCATCTTCCTAACAGGAGGTAGCTGAAAGTATTATTCAAAGATGCTGCCATTAAGGTTCAGCAAAGCCAGGGAAATCAAGTAGTGCACCCAGCCTCCCAGCTGAACCTGCAGTTGTAGCTGCCAGCATCACTACTTCCTGGGCCTGCCAACTGAAGCACTTTCTTGGTTTGCCTCTGCTGTTCTTTCTTCATGGGCCAATTCTGTTCAAGCACTGGGTTTACTGGGTAATAATGCCTATCTAGGAGCAGCTGTAATCTGCAGATCTCATTGCCCTGTCCCTGGGCAAACCAGATGGCATGCCATTTATTATCTAGCTTCCTCCAATACAAAGGTTTCTTTATAACAAATGTAAATATGAGTACTTATTATTAATTTTCCCACTTGTTTGTTTTCAAGCCCCCTAGATCTGGTATGGTTGGCACTCTTTGTCTACTGGTAAAGAGTAACTAGGCTTCATACTAATTAAAAAAAAAAAATAAAGAGAGAAGAAAATATTGAAAAGCTATGGAGTTCTTAAAAAGGTTTGTGAAATGTGTTTTTTTAATCCTTTTTTATCCAGAAGCTATCCAAACAGTTGGCAGCCACTATAGAAATTCAGTGGACAGGAGGTATTGCATTATTATGTGGTGAGAGTAGTCATCTGCATGATGAAAGGGATGACAGAGAGGCAGAGTGCCTCACTTGTCAGGATGAGACATACATTTACTTGTAATTTTTTTTCTTAATTTCATAAGCCCAGTTGCTGCCCTGCTGCTCTTCCTCTGTTTTGTTCCTCCAATCTCATAGCTGATAATTGATTTTTATTAGCTTATGTGCCAGTCTCGATAGTAATTACAAAACTACAGCATGCTTCTGAACATGAAAGAAGTTAAAGAAAACTCACAATCACCAATGCTGCACAACAGGAAGTATGGCTATGCACATATATCTGTGCAACTGTGAAATATCTGGAGGGAGGAAGTGGGAGCTTTTAAGCCTCTCTGGGTGTTAAAAAATTCCTTTCTCTGTGATAAATGTGCCTCTGATGGCAGTGCTGCCATTTCATATATATGCACAGTGGATCAAATGCATGCTCAAATCACATCAGCTTCAAGGCTTGATCTAGAAACCGTGCTGCAGTCAGGATGATGAATCCACAAGTACCTTTTAGATTTGGATAGAAGAGCTTAGTTTAAATGTATGCTGGGATGATTCTTTAAAAGCTGTTAGTTCAAAGTGATTGTACTCATACTGAAAGGCATTTTTTTCAGTCTGAAGTCTGGCAGGTATTCTTCCTTTATATAACAACAAATGGATAGTCGCATTTCTAGATGGCTAGGTCAGCATGAACCTATTCAGCTATAAGAAATTCTATATCTAATTTTAATATTAACATTTTATATTAAAAAGAAAAATATTATCTCTAACTTTATCAAAACCTATTAGCACCAGTATATATGCAACAGTGTAGTAGCCAGGCATTTGGCTGTCACTCTGAGACTGAGAAAGGCTTTAATCTAAAAGCTTAGCTAAATGACTTGAAGGTCCGATAAATTTCAACCGTGCTGCAGACATTTCAGAAAACATTCACATCTTACCTTCCCTAATTAAAATAAAACAACTTTAAAGGTTGCAAAGAACAGTAACAACAAAAGTAGGGGTTTTTGAGATTCAAAAACCGTTGCATGAGAAATCTTGAGTTGGTACTTTTGATAGTTCTGCTGTATGTACACCCAGTACCTTCAGTCTCATTCGGCGGATGATGCTAACAATACACTGCAAATGCTCATGTCCTATAGTTGTCCGGTCACTTCAGAACTGCTGCCTTACAGGGTATGATCAATTGACCTGTGCTCTCTGAATAGCTCTGTTCTGTATGTGGTTTCACATGTACTACAACAGATGCTGTTTAGATGAGCCTGCCTAGGCAGACATTTCAGACTGACCTACAAAATTGACAGGTACTTAATAATTTTCTACTATTTGGATATTTTTTGTATTATTCTTAGACTTTATCAGCAGTTAGTCTAGATGTTCAAAAACTCTGATAACATAATTGAAGAGTATTTCTCTTCAATTTCAGGTCAGCCTCTAAATGCATTTCCTCTGTCAAAAATGCCAGTGGCAGTAGTCACAGCACTGAACAGCACTCTGATTTCTAGATACAGATTTTCGGAAGTTCACAAGGACCAACAATTTCTGTTTTTATTCAGGGAGAGCACATGTGTGCTGAAAATCTTGTTGCTAACAGAAACAGCAAGTCAAACATGCTTTGACACAGCAGATCTCCCGTGGAGCTCTGCCCAGATTTTGAAGCTGCCTTTTTCAGGAGTCTTTCTACCTGAGAAATGCAGCTAATACTCTGCAAGTGCAAGGTGTATACCTTGCAGTAGTTTGGTGCATGTTTGTCATGCCATCCTAAAAAAGATGCAGATTTGGAGAACAGATTTATTTTCCGTAAATGGGAACCACTAGGGCATTGTTTTCTGCCTGGCTGAGGTTTAAATTAGAAATAGAGAATAACTAAAAGAGCCCACTTTGCTGAATTCTTCAGACAGTATCCATAAGTTTCAACAATTAGTGCAATTTGATTTTGTTAAAAAACTCATTTTTATTAGATCTGAAGAGGAAATGTGTTGAGAGTGACTCCAGGTTATTTAAGTGTGTATTTGGTTTGGTATAGTTTAATGTCAAAGTGTTTTCATTCATTCCTCTTTTATACTACTACTGCCTGTAGCATTTATGTTTGTTAGCCTTTTTCATCATTACATTCCACTAGGAGTTGTTATGCTTCCTTTCCTCTTAGTGGTTCAGTCCTCATGAGGTTTTAGCTATATGGCAGTGTACAGTAGAAAGGAGAGCATGAAAGGTTTGCAGCATCTTTGCAAATGCTATCAACTCAGTATGGTGAGTTCTATAGAGTGCCAGGGAAATAAAAACCTCTGAGTTGAAGTTCAGCCTGTTTTTGTAAATACAACCTTTCCAGACTTTAAATGACTGGAGGCAAAGATTTATTTACATGCAGGGCATTTCTAATGCAGTGTCTCTAACTAGGTCAGAAACAGCAGGAATGTAAACCATGATCTAAAATCCTGAAGTTTTATGTTTCAGTTGGAACCCTACACTTGAAACTGCAAAGTCTGAAGGCTGGACAGGGACAGAGAGTACATTGTGTATTGTTTGCACTTACTTGAAGTTTCTCCTCTGCACCTGAAAACATTGCTCCAGCTTCAAGTGTTTGGCAATATCTTTATCATTGTCTGGTGATTGCTGAAGGCAATGCTGTGGAGGGCTTCCTTGTGCAGACACTCAGATTTTGAGAGTTCCATATTGCTGAAGGTGCAGATTCAGAGATGCTTCCTCAGGGAGTACAAAAGTCTGAAGGAGACAAAGAGGCTTTGAGTTACTGTTACAGTCTGTGTTTTTTAAGCCTGTAAAGGTCTACAGAATCACTTCTTCCTGCATTTTTGACTGAAGCCTGTGGGAGCAGGGGCAACAGTATCCTAGGAAAAACTTTGATTGCTCTTGAAAAAATAAAATATATATCAAAAATGCTATTATAGTTATTTTTAAATGTCCCCAT